AACTGAGATATAAGATCAAAAGATAAAACAACAGAAGAGAAGAGTATTGATCACTCTTATATGACCAATGAGCATCCACAATTGGTTGTTATAGTAGTATTGCTTATGGATAAATTTTAGAACAACTCAGAGGCAATATTCCCCGTTGGTGGGATCAAACTGATCACGAGTATTACTTAGACTGGATGATCGATTAAATTAACATCTCATGAAACAAATAAAATGTATCGAGTAGCTAAGGCAATTCACTGATAATTAAAAAAATATCAGTTGGGGTTTAAGTAGCTAGGGAAGAAGCAAAGTAAAAAGGAACTGTGAAGTCTTTTGACTCCGAGACTCGAGATTCGGAGAAAAAGCATAATAAACTCCACCTAGTACACCTAGTCCACCTAATTCTAGGGGTGTCAATTGGACCGGATTTGGTCCAATCCAATCTAGTCCAATGTGAGTTTATTATAAATGGACCAGGTCCAATTCAATCCAATGAATATTTTGGATCGGTCTAATTGAATGTCTAGACTGTCCAATCTGTTCAAATTCGTTTTGATTTAGATTGATTTCAACCCAAACCCGGATCATTAACATCTATATTCTTATCTTTTATCAATGGACCAGATATTAGCTTAATCCAACCCAATCCAATATAAATTTATTATGGATGGACCAGGTCTAATCCAATCTAATAAATATTTTGAACTGGATAGGTCCAATCCAATATGTCTTGTTGATCTGTCCAATCTATCCACATTAATTTTGAATTGGATGGGGTCCAACCCAAAACCGGTCCATTGACACACTTACCTACTTCTCAGGTGTTCGATAGACCAGTTGTGAGTTGTGACCTATGACTCACCTTCACCCACACAATTTCTTTCCAATTTCTCGTCTTCTCACGAGAACTGAAAGTACTTTAAAGACCAAAGATGAAGTCCAACAGTCAATATATATATATATATATATACACATGATCATGACCTAGGTACCTGTGGTGGTAATGAGGGTTAGTCGTGAAATAGTGATCTGGGCACACCTCAATTTTGACACCCATATGAGTTAGCCTAAGAAAAATAAAAAATAAAAAAATCATGTGATAATAGATAATTTCTTTTAAGGGACTGTTTGATAGCAACTGAAATTGAAATGACTGAATTAAATGACTTATTTAATTTATTTTTTATGAATAAATTTGTTCTCAACATGACATAGCAGTTATGATGGCATATGAAATATATATGCCATCATATTCTCCCAATAATGTCTTGATGACCATACAATTAAAAGCGAATAGTAAAATACAGATACATATCAATTACAAAGTCAATGCTCACATGTCATGGTTTTAAAAATGAACCACGAATATAATAATCACTTTTTGCATTGTCTGGTAAAAAAAGCACTATAATTTTCATAAAAATAAAAGTTATGGTTCTAGAAATCTAGAGCCATGCCACCCTTTGATGATTATATTAAAAACTTCTAAGAGCATAATAATGATTTTAACTATTTAAATATAATATACATCATTACCATTATGAAATTAATTTAAAAAAAAATGGGTTCCAAAGGGCCGGGCTTTGGGCTCAGCCCATGAATATGGGAGAGAGAAAGGCAGTTAGCTACTAGACTGAGATGAATGGCAAACATTATAGCTTTCAATTCTTGGTCCAACCTGTAACCAAAATTTGAATCTAAGTCATCAGCCTTCCATCTGAATTTACTAGCTCTATTTCAACATAGAAGGAGAGATGATGGCAATAGAGGAACCCATCTTGTCTATATGAAACAATAAAAAACAGAAAAACTATTGAACAAGAACCCAGGTCTTAGACGATGGATTCCTCCCTATTTTCTACACAAACACAATACCTTTTTTAGTCATCCACAAATATAATACTTGATTATATTATATCTTACCAAAATGTCAGTATGCCCTGTGTGTAACTTCCTTGTGCCAATTGGTTTTAAGATGGACAAATTTATTAAACTATCTTCATCGTCGTTAAATCATAATGGAAAGGATGAAATGTTCCTTTTACCCTTGGTCTCTCCTTCTCCCTCTAACCTTTTCATTTTCTCTCATCCCCTACGAAATTCATCCGAAAACACTGTTATCGCCCCCAACCTCATTTCTTCTCACAACCTTCAATGCTGTCAATAACTTCTCACATCAGCCCAACTAGAATCAGACACTCTTTTGAAGCCCTTCTCTTTTCCCTCTTTCTCCCCTCWCTCTTCTCTACTGTAGCAAGGCGTTGAAGACTAGGTTGAAACCCACTGTAGTTCAGCATATGCTTTCCGATTCCCTCTCTCCTTTTCAATTAAAAAGGAAGAAAACTTGGACATTAAAATAGCAATTGCTCCAGTAATACAAAGCAGCATCAGCAATAATTCGAGATAGACATCTTCTTTGCAATTCCCCCTCTCCCTTTTCTTTCTTCTTTGTGACTACATCGAGTGGAGAATATGAACAGAGAACAAGGCCGGTGGTCAAAGGTGGAAGAAGAAAAAGAAAAGGACGAAGGAGAAAGATAGAGGGGAATGAGAGAAAGAGAGAGAAAAAGAGTTTGGAAGGGAGAAGGGAGTGTCGTTGCTCTGCCGTTGCATCGATTGTTCTCTGTTTTGTTGACCATTGTCACCATCTATGTCATCTGTGTCTACCTCATTCAAGGTTTTTACATCGTCTATCTCGTATGCGCTAGGTATCTACATCCTCAATCTATTCATCACCTTCCTCTCCCTACGTGTTGGCTTGAAGATTCAAGAGCTCGTAGAGGGGCCACCCTTCCCACCAGGGGTTCTGAATCTTGTGATGATTTTCGTCTGTTTGTTCATCGACTCCCTGAGTTCAAATGCTTGGTGGTAAGGTTAAATTGCTTCCATTTAACAATTAGAGAGAGAAAGAGCACCAAATTGTTCAGAGATCTGAGGAAGGAAGAAGAGGGGTTTCGTTGGGGGCTTTTTCAGTTAAGGAAATGGTTTCTCGTCAGCACCACCGGTCTCTTTTCACCCATCATGGCATTGTCCGTCAAATCTCTCGACATCATCAACACTGAAGTTATCTCCAGTTCCCGGTCTCAACAGATATTCGTGGCCGTGGTGGACGACGCCAGGAAATTGTCATGAGTTATCAATTGAGATTTTTTTTTTTGACATTCCAATTGACTGATACTAGTACTTGGAACCCTTGCAACAGGACAGAGCATCGGCACCAGTGCAACAATTTTCGCTCATAGGCGTTGATTCTTACCCGGCTTATACACGAGAGGAGAAGGGTAATATTGGGTTTTAACTAAAAATATACATCACATAGTATCATGTATGTACAAATATTAACAGAATAGAGTTAGTCAATTATTAGAAATAATAAGAATGATTTAAGACAATAATTAAATAATAAAAATACAACTTATCAATTAACTAAATAATAAGAATAGTTTAAGATATTTGCCCAAGTTGTATTACACCTAGAAATAATTGAGAGATCGGCCTGAATCATCAAAGCATGATATTTCCACCCTTTTTTTATCGAATAACCAAAATGTGACAACTGGGTTGAACCTTGCATATAGATGTTTGAGTTGATTGGTGGGCACATTGAACAGTGTTGGAGCTGCTCATCATGCCAAGCTGCCATCCTTTTTGAAGAGAATTATTACAAACATGCAAATGCATACCATCTTATCCTTATCTTTTCAATCTTTTCACCTACTACCGAACCATTACAATTAATTTGCTTATAAAGCATCAACATAACCACGGCATATGAGTAGATTTCCACGGTTATCAAAAAAAAAAAAAACAAAATTGAAACAGCAGTCCATCACAGATCGAATGGTTCAGTTTGGAAGGAGTATAAATGAAAATATGTAGAGCAAAAAATCTTGTATTTTGTATTATTTTGTTTGTATTTATAATGTACATGTTTACGTTTGTACTCCTTCCAAATGCCAAACGCTTTTACACTAACCCATGAAAATAAATCAAAATTCATGAGTGTTTCAATTGGTCAAACTCTGGAATGTAAGATCTTCCGGTATCAAAGCCACTACCATGAATTTTTTATTGATTAATGTACACCTTAGTATACTAAGGTATGTATTAAGATCTCGTTTCGTTTGTGGGAATAGGGGTTTAGAATCGGAATTGGAATGGGTCATTCTTATTCTAATCATTTGGTTGGATAGAATTGGAATCACATTATCTGATGCAACGTAGAAGCAGTGAAAACCGGGCTGGCTATGCAGGCATCGGGCGAACGCAAGCTTCGTAGCGAAGCCGGACGTGAATTTCTTGAGGAGAGAGAAAAGTTGGTGAAAACTGAATGTGTTTATTAGCTTGGAATTAACAGTATTTATAATACATCTGGAAATTGTAGAGTAACTAGGAAAGAAAAATTGTGATAGATCTTAAACATCTAATCTTCTAACTAGGATCGAACTCTTCTTGGATGTTGCCTTGATCTCCACCGTCCGATCTCCCTGGGTCTATCTCCTTGGAATTACCTTGGATCTTGAACTTCCTTGAATTTTGGGCTTATCTTGAATCTGGAATTCTTGATTTATCTTGGATTCTTGATTTATCTTGAACTTATCTCATGAATTGCCGCCTATATGAGGGGATGGGCCTTGAGATGGGCCTCCATCATTCTCCCCCACTTGGAAAGAACTCGACCCCGAGTCGTGACTGGGATATGCAAGTGTTGTCTCAGGCAGGTACCAGTGAAGGTCAGCAACATTGAATGTATTAGAAATACCCATGTGATCTGACAAGTCCACGACATACGCATTGTTGTTGATTTTCTTCATGATCTTGTATGGACCATACTTCCGAGGCTGTAGCTTGTTATACTTCCCCATGGGAATCTGTTCTTTTCTCAAGAACACCATGATTTCATCACCGACGTCAGATTCTTGGTGTCGGCGATGTTTGTCTGCCGCCATCTTGTATTTTGCATTGGTTTGCTCCAGTTTCTGCCTTACGGCATCTTGGATGGTCTGGATCTACTCTGCCAGCTGTTCTGCCGAGACACTGGGTACTCTGGGTTGCTTCACTAAGTCCAGTGCATGATTATGAACCTTCATATAGACAATGGAGAATGAAGATCTACCTGTAGAGCTGTGGACTGCATTATTGTAGGCGAACTCGGCTTGTGCTATGGCGAAATCCCACTACTTCGGTCTCTCCCTACAGATACTGCGAATCAAATTACCAAGGGTCCGATTCACCACTTTTGTCTATCCGTCCGTCTGCGGGTGGGCTGTACTGCTGAAATTCAATGATGAGTCAAATATCCTCCACAGGGTCATCCAAAAATGACTTAGGAACCTTGTGTCTCGATCTAATGTGATGGTCTTAGGTACCCCATGTAAACGGACAATTTCTCTAAAAAATAACTTGGCTGTTGTTGTTGCATCTGCTGCCTTCTTGCATGGAAGGAAATGAGTCATCTTTGAGAACCGGTCAACCACTACGAAGACGGAGTCCATATTTTTGGGAGTTTTGGGCAACCCTAGCACGAAATCCATGGATAAGTCTTCCCAAATCGCGGTAGGAACAAGTAGAGGCATGTAGAGGCCAGTATTCTAGGTCTGTCCCTTGGCTGTCTGACAGATATAGCATCTACTCACAATAGTAGTCACATCCCTTCTTAATTTCGGCCAGTAGTAACGCCCCTTGACTGCTTCAATTGTTTTGTCTCTCCCAAGGTGGCCTACCAATCCTCCCCCATGCAAATCCTTGATGATCTTTTCGCGGAGGGAGGTGCAAGGGATGCATAGCTGTTCCCCTTTTATAAGGAGCCCATCATGAAGGTAAAAGTCACCTATTGGCTGTCGATTTATACATTTTTCCCATGCCTGTTGGAAGTCCTCATCTTGGGCGTAGAGGTCTTTCAAGCATTCAAAGCCCACAATTTCAACACTGAGAGTCTTGATGAGGGCGACACGTCTACTAAGAGCATCAGCCATTGTATTTTGCTACCCGGCCTTATACATAATTTTGTATGGGAATTTATCAAGGAAAGCAGACCATCTTGCATCTAGATCACTCCTCAACTGCTTCTGCTTACTGAGATACTTAAGAGCTTGGTGGTCGGTGTAAAGAACAAATTCTTTGGCAATTAAATAATGTTCCCATGTTTTTAAGGCTCTAACTACAGCATAGAATTCCTTGTCATAGGTGGACCACTTCTTCTTGTCTTCACATAACTTTTCACTAAAGAAGCCAATGGGTCTCTTCTCTTGGGACAATACAGCCCCTATGCCAACTCTACTGGCATCACATTCTACTTCAAACAGTTTATCAAAACTTGGCAAAGCAAGGACAGGAGCAGTACATAATTTTTCTTTTATGAGGGCAAAACTCTGCTCTTGTTCTTCTCCCCACTGAAACTTCCCCTTTTTCAAACACTTAGTGATGGGAGCTACAATACTACTAAAGTGTTTGATAAATCGCCTGTAGAAAGTTGCTAACCCATGGAAACGCCTTACATCCGTGACGTTTGATGGGGTTGGCCACTCCCTAATGGCTTTCACCTTCCCTTCATCCACCTTAATTCCATCATTGCTTATAATGAATCCTAGGAACAACAAATTATCGTTCATGAAAGTGCACTTCTTTAAATTAGCATATAATTTGTTTTCCCTTAATGCTTTTAATACCTCCCTGATATGTCCAATGTGCTCAGTGATAGATTTGCTGTAAATTAAAATATCATCAAAATATACTACAACAAGTTTACCAATAAAGGGACGTAGTACTTGATTGATTAGCCTCATGAAGGTGCTGGGTGCGTTGGTTAGTCCAAAGGGCATGACTAACCATTCGAGCAGTCCATCTCTAGTCTTGAAGGTTGTCTTCCACTCGTCTCCGGGACGGATTCTAATCTGATAGTATCCACTCCTGAGATCGATTTTAGAGAATACTACGGCTCCATCAAGCTGATCTAGCTGTCGTCCAGCTTGGGAATGGGGAATTTGTAGCCAATAGTAATTTTATTAATAGCCATGTTGTCGACACACATCCTCCAACTTCCATCCTTCTTTGGTGTTAACAATGCTGATACTGCGCAAGGGCTCATACTGACTTGAATATGCCCCTTTTTCAACAATTCTTCTACCTTCTCCCGTAACATTTCATTTTCTTTAGGACTCATCCTGTAATGTGGGAGGTTAAGGAGACTAGCACCAGGAACAAAATCAATGTGATGCTGTATATCTCGCATGGGCGGGAGTTCATTTGGTAACTCATCTGGAACTACATCATGAAACTCATCAAGTAGTCCCTACACTTCCACTGGAATTTTATTTTCCTCCAGTGTCTCATTCATACTTTCTCCTTTTACTACCAACAAGTGTACCTCGCGGGTATCCTTACATTCTTTTACAAATTCAGCATGGTGATGTGTAATAGTAAGGAAATTTTTCTCATCTGTTTTTGGGGCCTTTGGGGAATTCTTTTCAGCCATGGGTAATAAAGTGTACCGTATACCCTCTTTTTCAAGTTGATAGGTATTGATTCTACCCATGTGTTTTGCATTTGTATCAAACTGCCAAGGCCTCCCTAACAAAATATGGCAAGCATCCATGTCTACAATATCACAATACACCTCATCATTGTACTTACCAATGGAGAATGGGACCTTGCAGCGTTCCTCCACCCGTACGCTGCCACCCTCTTTTATCCACCCAATTGTGTATGAGTTTGGATGTTTTTCAAGGAGTAATTGTAATCTTTGTACCACATCCCTGCAAATAATATTTTCTTGACTGCCACTATCAATAATTAAATCAAACAATTTACCCTTTACAGTACATCTAGTGCGGAACAGTTAGTGTCGTTGAGAGGTATCTTTGTTTATTTGGGACAACATTAATTTTCTCACAGCACATGTATATTCTTCATGTTCGTATGGACCTTCTTCATCTTCCCCATCAGGTCCACAATATACTTCCTCTTCAACATTTTCTTCCTCCTCCCTCTCTATCATATTAACTGCATTCCTTCTGGGGCAGTCACTAGACCTATGCCCAACTTCATTGCACTTAAAGCATTTAAAAGGAGCAGGTTTTGCATAAGGATTACTGGGTTTAGGAGGGTTGGAAGGGTTACCTCAAGTATTTCCTCCTGTGATGGCCTTACCGGCATTAGCTGTAGTTGTCGGGTGAGAAGGTTGTACTCCTGGGGCTGATTTGTTTTTGTCGACAGCTGTTAATCTGTTGTCGCTCCCACTGTACCAGCGGTAATTATCACCATAGGTCTTTTCTTGGAACACTAATTCAGCTTTTAAAGATAGGTTCCTTGCTTCCTGCACACTAAGAACCATCTGGACGCCAATTTTATCTATAATAGCCGGCCTCAAACCGCTCAGATAATGGGCTGCCTGCTGGTTATCACTTTCAAATAGCTGATTTCTTTCAGCCAATCGTAGAAATTCAGATGTATATTCATTGACACTTCTTGAACCCTGCACATGTCGTTGATATGATTCAAACATATATTGTTCATAATCTGGGGGTAAAAATCTACCTCTTATTAGCTGTTTCATGTGCCTCCAGGTTCGAACAGGACCTCTTCCTTCTCTGATCCAGGTCTCTCTCATCCATTCCCACCAGACAGATGCGCCTCCCTTCAGTCGAAAGGCTATCAATTTCACCATTCGTTCTATTGGGATCTCCATGTATTTAAAGAAACGGTCGACCTTTATGATCCAATCTAGAAGGCCCTCTATATCCAGATCCCCACTAAAAGTAGGAATATCTACCTTGAGTTTAAATTCGTCATTATTCCGGCGGGGGTTGAAATTACCTGGGTTGCGCCAATTTCTACCATTCCTAACGTCGTCGGGATTGACTGGAGCAACGCCGAAGTCTAACTCGTCATCACTATCATCATCAAGAACAGGATGCTGGGGTATAGGATTGACGTGATCGTTTCCTTCGATTGGGTACGGGTTCTCCCGGTTCCTGGGAATGTCCTCTCGTAACAAGGTCCGCAGTTGTCCAGCGATCTCTGCCAACTGCTGCTCGATGTTACATGTGGTTGTGCGCTGCTCTTCAATTGCTCTCCAAACAGTTTGTAACCCCTGATCTCCGTCACGGGGTGGGTTGCGACTGCTACCGTCTTAGTTGGCCATCTGATTGGGTGAACTCCCTGCTCTGATACCACCTGATGCAGTGTAGAAGCAGTGAAAACCAGGCTGGCTATGCAGGCACCGGGCGAGCGCAAGCTTCGTAGCGAAGCCGAACGTGAATCTCTTGAGGAGAGAGAAAAATTGGCGAAAACTGAATATGTTTATTAGCTTGGAATTAACAGTATTTATAATACATCTGGAAATTGTAGAGTAACTAGGAAAGAAAAATTATGATAGATCTTAAACATCTAATCTTCCAACTAGGATCAAACTCTTCTTGGATGTTGCCTTGATCTCCACTGTCCGATTTCCCTGGGTCTATCTCCTTGGAATTACCTTGGATCTTGAACTTCCTTGAATCTTGGAATTGCATTAATATGAACAATTCTTATTGGAATTGCAATTCCAATATATTGTTTGAACACTAGTTTTTAATATTGTGGTCAAATCAATTATTTATATATATATATATAGTATTTATATATAATATATATGTTATTTATTTATAAATATGTTATCTATATTGCAGTTTTATAAACTTTTTATATGATGAAAATAGTTGAAAAATACTTATATTTTGTTTTTTTTATTCAACTGTTATATTTTCTTTTTCTTCTAATAATTTATTATTTAAAATATTAAATCAGATTGTATTAGATTCATATATCTGACATCTTGATTGGATTCAATTCAAATCAATATTTATGATATCCGGTTGAACCTTTGGATTAAATCAGATTTTAATATACCCTTATTCAAATCTGATATGATATCTTTGCATCCCTACCAAACCACTTGCCTACGATGGCCTAGCTAATTAAATTATTGAACCATTTGACATGGTTAATCGGGTTATGTGTTAGACATTACTGTTATTTATTTTTTTATCCTAAGTTTTATCCCATTTATATCATTAATGAAAATAATTCTCATTAGTTATACTTTTCTATATGATGAATATATAATATTATAGAATGCATCCAAAATTATCGATAAATTTCTACATTTTATAGAATTTTCTGTGTTTTATTATTTAATAATAACATCATGTGTTGATCCATTTGACATTGATAGTTGAACCACTAACCCACCACTTGGATGGAAAAATCATTTTGCTTTTTCGGTTAATTTTAAATCATGTATTCCATTTTCATCATCAATAAAAATATTTCTTATTTTCACATTTATTTTGTTTAATATGCATGGTGAATATATAACAATAGAACTCTATATGTATGTATGTATGTATGTATGTATGTATGTATGTATGTATGTTTAATATTCGTTACTTAGTTATGACATCATAGATTGACCCATTTGACCTGCAATGTTAGATCATTGGCCTACCTACCATCTAGATATGGAAATGGTTTCATTTTCAAATTGATTTTAAATTTTGCATTTCATTTATATCATTGATAAAATAATTATTATTTGTCATACTTATTTTTGTTTATATTATTAGTATATAATATTATAAATGTGCCCAAAATTGTTTCATATTTTTTGTACTATTCTATTTTAAGAAATTTATTTTTAATTATACATCATGGGTTAATCTATTTGACCTGAAAAGTTGAACCACTAACCCATCCCCTAGATTGGAAGATGGTTTAATTTCCCATCGGTTTTAAGTTGTATATTTGATATCCATCATTAATAAAATTATGTCTATTTTATCATACTTATTTTTTAGGGTAAATTATAAAGACCCCCTATACAATAGGGTCTATGACAAAGACCCCTTATACTTTATTTTGCGATAAAGGCCACCTATACTATGACTATGACACAAAAACCCCCCTCGTTATCTGTTGAAATCCACCATTACAATATTTTTTAATCCCCATACTATTCTTATAATAAGTATTCTGACAATCGGTGAATCACTGTTCATCTTCCCCAACACCTGCATAGAACGAAGCATTTACATGGAGAGAACAACCAGAGTAGATCTTGCCAGGAAAAATAAGAAAAGGAACATGGACATTAGAGATTCTCACCTTGCTAAATCTTTGGAACAACAGACCTAAGCTAGAGCCTGTCATTCGATTTCGTCTTCCTCCTCCTCTCCTCTTCTTCCATGTAGAGCCTGTCATTCATTTCCGTCTGTTGCTAATCTTTGGAACAACAGACCCAACACCTCCTCGTTGTTCTTCCTCCAATTCCGTCTTGCCCTTGCTCCCCTCAACCTTAGCTGAATCTTGACCACCTTCCCAACCAAAAAACCCCAAGTTACCCCCTTTGTCCGCTGCGGCTGAATTCTGCCAGAGAGCAGGTCTCTTCTGGAACAGGGTGGGCTGTGCGCCGATAGGAGGGAAAATTTCGAGAGGTCTCAAAACTTTAGACCTGTTGAGGAACAGGTTATTAGCAAAACCCTCAAAACCTCCGAAATCAGTCATATTGAAACCGGTACCCACAGTGTTGCTATCTCCGCTAAGGGCAACCATCGAGTGGTCGGAAATTGTGAATTAAAACAAAAATCGAGAGTTTCCATCTGACCCTGCGAACTCAACCCGTCGAACCCATTCAAAACACCTACTCCCCTGCTCATGAGGACAGAGGAACTCGAAGTCTGGTTCCCTGCTCCCCTGCTCATGAGAACAGAGGAACTCAAACCCGCCGAACCCATTTAAACACGGACGTCGGAGAACAAGAAGATGAAGAGTCGGTTGGTTTTGGACGCTCCGCTACAGGAAGACGGAGAACAGTAGACTCTCCGTTGCAGTAGGGTTCGAAGGGAAAGCAATATCTTTGATTTCTGGATGGTTTTTTACGCTCTGAAGAACTCACCAAAACGTTTGGGGCTGGAAGGAGCGCTGAAGTAGGGGGAAGAGCAGGCGCTGTCGAGTTCCTTACCAAATCGCCTATCAATCTTGGGCTTCTTCTCGAGTTCCTTACCAGATCACCTATCAATCTTGGTCAGGAGCTCAACAAACTTCACGGCGATGTGGGAAGTGTGGCAATCGAGCACAGGGGTGTGACCATTTCCGATCTGGCCTGGGTGGTTCATGATGATGACCTGGGAGGTGAAGCTGGCAGCTTCCTTGGTAGGATGGTCCTTGGAGTTGGGAGAGAGAAAGAATGAGAGAGGACACGGCGGAGGCGCAGGTGTGGCAAGCCAAGGTGAGACAGCAGGAGGCCAGGCGGTTCATTTCGGAGAGTTGGGAGAGAGAAAGAATGAGAGAGGACACGGCGGAGGCGCAGGTGTGGCAAGCCAAGGTGAGACAGCAGGAGGCCAGGCGGTTCATTTCGGAGAGTTGGGAAAGAGAAAGAACGAGAGATGACGGTGAGGGAGGGGAAAGGAAGAGAAGAAAGTGAAGACAATAGGTTTTAAGAGAAAAGGGGCAAAAAAAGAAAATAGAAAAAGTTTAGTAGGGTATTTTAGTAATTTAACGCATTTTGTCATATGATTTAACGATCAAGGGGGGTCTTTGTCTCAGGTCATAGTATAGGGGGTCTTTGTCGCAAAACAAAAGTATAGGAGGGTCTTTGTCACAAACCCCATAGTATAGGGGGTCTTTGTAATTTACCCTATTTTTAATATGACAAATATATACTAATAGAAATGTGTCCAACTTTTTTTCAAAATTTATTTATTTTTCTATATTTTTGTATTTTTATATTTCTAAGTTTGTATTATTTATTCATGACATCATGAAATTATCCATTTGACCCAAATGGTTGAAGTACTTACCCACGACCTAGATGGAAAATATGATTTCATTTCTCAGTTTATTTTAAAAATACAAAATTCCATTCTATTAATAATTATTGTATATGGATTTATTAGTGGCATTTAATGATGATAAACAAAATTACTTTTTATATTTTTAAATTTGTATTATTTATTTATGACATCATGAATATCATTGATAAAATAATTACTATTTATCATAATTATTTTTATTTATATTATTGGTATATAATATTATAGATGTGTCCAAAATTGTTTCATATTTTTTTGTACTATTCTATTTTAAGAAATTTATTTTTAATTATACATCATGGGTTAACCTATTTGACCTAAAAAGTTGAACCACTAACCCACCCCTACATAAGAAGATAGTTTAATTTCCCATTGGTTTTAAGTTGTATATTTGATGTTCATCAATAAAATTATGTATATTTTATCATACTTATTTTTTAATATGACAAACATGTAATAATAGAAACGTGTCCAATTTTTTTAATTTTTTTCTCTATTTTTTGTATTTTTTATATTTCTAAATCTGTATTATTTATTTATGACATCATGAAATTATCCATTTGACCAAAATGGTTCAACTACTTACCTATCACACCTAGATGAAAATTTTGATTTCATTTCTAGGTTTATTTTAAAAATATAAAATTTCATTCTATTAATAATTATTGTGTATGGATTTATTAGTAAAATTTAATGATGATAAACAAAAGTATAAATGTTGGATTCAATGAGAGAAAATGTGATTTATTTAATGACTTAAATGTGAGACTTAATGAGAGGTAATTTAATGTACTTAATGGTATTCTTTTAATTACATTTTCAGCCCTTTCAATGGAGATTAACTAAATTAAGGAGGAAGGGTATTTTAGTAAAGAAAATTTCCAGAAGCCCCTCATTCGTACTTTTATAAGTAGTATAGATAGATCAAAACAAATCACTTCCATCCTCCAACTCCAAAGTACATGTATATTAAAGAAACAAATAAGAAAGAATTCTTAAGGCTATGTTTGATTTGAAAGAAAAGATAGAGAATTAAAGTAGAAACAGTGAGGGAAATTTCATTTGACCAGCTGGTTTGTTTTCACTGCTGCAAAAGTATGGGTGTACAAATGTTTTGAATTAAGACTGGGATCTATTTTATGTTTACCTTATTTTTTTTTATTTCTTGAAATAAAATAATGCTTAAAACAAGGCAAAATACAAACCAATGCAAACGTGGATCAAAACTTGCATTCTTTTCATTTGCACTTTCATGCATTTATATTAGAAAAAATAAGGGTAAATTACAGATAGGTACCCTATACTTTGGGGGTGGTGACAAATAGGTACCCTGAACTTTTAATTGTAACACTTGAGTACTCTAAACTTTCAAAAAATTTGAATATGTTATTTGGTGTCCATGTGAAAATGTGATTGTGGGGAATTTCGGTTACTTGAGAATGATCTCAAAAATACATGAGAAGGGTATTTTTTACATTATGTAATATTTAACTAGCAGAATACTAACGGCTTGACCCAAGTGTCTATTTTTAAAAGTTTAGGATATTCAAGCATTGCAATTGAAAATTCAAGGTACCTATTTGTTACCAACCCCAAAGTATTGAGTACCTATTTATAATTTACCCTAAAAATAAATTCGCACCGCGGAGAGAGAGAGAGAGAGTAAAATGATTAATTTTTTGGCAGTCATAAGTCCTTTGACCATGGTTTTTAAAACTGAACCGGTGACCGAACTAATTAGGGGTTCGGTTACCGGTTTGAACAATCCGATCGTTCAATCCGAACGGTTGGCCTATTCTAACAAAAAAATAAAAAAATTGAATAACGATCAAAACCGTTCAAATGGTTAACCAACTAGTTCAGCGATTTGCTGACCAAAATCAACGGTTTTAAGGAAAAAAACAGTTTTGGAGGAAAATGGAGCCGATCCTGATTTTTCCGGTCTGGTCCAATTTTGAAAACCATGCCTTTGACCATTAAAAATTGTTCTCTTGTCGTGTTTATTGGTTTATGCAAGCTACATATGTAGTATCTATCTAAAAAAACAAAACTATGATCAAAACTCATATTATCACTCTATAATGACTAACCACCAATTAGGCTGTTTGTTAAAAAAAAATTAAAGACATAACTATTACCCAATGTTGGTCTCATCTATGTGGGGTCATAATTAAGAGAGGTAGACCCGATATGAAACATTTTCTTGCATGAAATGACTGCTCAACTTTTTTCAGTTTTCCTATTACATACAGGGGATTTAGGATTAAAGATGCATTTGGCATTCTTTATTTTAAGTATTTATCATTTATTCACAATTAAAAATTAAAAATCCTTAAAATAAGAAATGCCAAATGCAGTCTAAGAGGCGAAGAGAGAGTATCATGCACTTAAGTCCAGGAGTATAAATGTAAATACGTAGAATGCAAAATCTTGTATTTTATATGTATTTGCATTTGTACAAATTGAGTCTAACAAGAGCGACGATAAGCGTCGTGTCTCTCTCATGAATATAAGATGTGGATGAGAGTCAGCTTTTAATTCCAAATCACGTGAGATGCAGATGCAGATGAGATTACAGTTTTTGAAAATTTTCATCAGTTTGATTTTATTTTAAAAAATTTAAAAAATAAAGGGCAAATCGGACATTTTATTTTTTCCATTGTCTGAAAACTTGGGATAATTTAAGACAATATAAACCATAGATAGAAGTACTTTAGAAACCTAAATCCAAGCCCTAATGCCTTATAAAAAAAAAAAAAACCCAATGCCTTATCAGAGTTTTTTATTCGTTTTAGGCTTTTATCAAAACCGCAAAAGGACCGGTCGATCCGCAAAGCGTTTCCCTTCCGAACCCAGTAACGACTTGTATTCGCGATTTGGCTGAGAGTCGTAAGATTGAAAGCCACAGCCACAGGGTTGCAAAGATCGGGAGGGAGAGAAGGAGACGGCAAAAGAAAGATGCTTCAGATTCGACTGAGCAAGGGTTCGTCTGCAGAGACCGGAGGAGGGGCGAAGCCCTTGCCAGTAGATACCGTCACGGTCGCATGCCCCGACCACCTTGTACTCGCTGATCTCCATGTTGCTAAGGCCCTCGGTACTGCAAACCCTGCTGCTTCCATTGTCAAGTCTGTCGGCCGAAGATCTCGTCGTCTGCTTGGTGAAAGAGTCCACTTTTGCGTTCGCTGTGATTTCCCCATCGCCATTTATGGTCGCTTGGTACGTTATCATTCCAACTCATTTATTTCTTTGCTTTCTTTCATTGTAATGTTCTCTTTCCATATTCCTCGCCTTGTGTTCGGTGAAAGTTCTGGTCGTAGAGGATGTAATTTCAAATGTTATATCCGCACGAAAACGTTTTGTTATGTTCAAAACAGGAAAAATAAAAGAATTGAAAGAAGATAGTTATTTTACTGTGAGTGATTTTTTTTTTGGGTGGGGGGTTGATCAAGTTTACGGCACTGAGTTCTATACTGGAGAAGAAACCGCCCTAATCTTAGCTGACTCATGCATGTATAAGCAAAAGCATAAACAATAGAAATGTCTAGTTTAGTTATTTGAACTTCACATCAAACATGAGCAAATTCGACTTCAAGCTTTACAAATCCACTTATCCTGATCTTTAGTTTTCTGGCAGATTACGATGTTATTCTAAGCCTTGTAATTGAAAGACAGCATGGTCCAACCTGGGTTTGGATCGAGCTAAGTATATGGGGCTTGGGTCGAGATACTTTGGGTTAATTGAAGTTAATTATTTGGTTGTTCGGGCTATGGGTAGAACAGGCTTATTGTTTAATGTTGGGCATGGGCTGGTTCTTTATCATATCTCACCTTCTCAAGTTGCAAAGACCACTTATTGGGAAGCCATTAATCAACGAGAATGCTTTCCAGGTTAACATGGTAACAGATAAATTTATCTGTTACTATGTTAACAGATAGATTTGCTGGTTCTTTATTATATCTCACCTTCTCAAGTTGCAAAGACCACTTATTGGGAAGCCATTAATCAACGAGAATGCTTTCCAGGTTAACATAGTAACAGATAAATTTATCTGTTACTATGTTAACAGATAGATTTATTGGATGGAGACAAATTGTTAATAGTGCTTTGATGGATAATGAAGCACTGGAGGACAGAACAGGAAAGGTATCTGCAGTAAATTAAAACTTAAAAAGGCATATTATGAAGTGGATTGGAGGTGTTTGTGGAATGTCATGAGATTGAAAGGGTTTGGGATTACTTAGATTAGATGGATGTAGGGGTGCACTTAGTTGTTGTGGTAATAGGTCTCCTCATGGTTTCTTCAAAGATTCTAGGGTATTGCAACAAAGACGTCCCTCTCTCCCCTTCTTTTCACAATGATTGTAAGGAAGAGAAATGGGTCCTAAGGAAGAGTTTCTTTCTCATTTGGGAGGCAACTTATGGAGGCGTAAATACTTATGAGTCCTAAGGAAGAGAAATGGGCAGCTTTACATCTCTCCCCATGTTTGTGTTATCTATCTGTATGAAGGATGGGGAATTCATTGGTCATCTTCTCGTCAATTGCAAGTTTGTGCATAGAATGTGGCAGTTCTTTTTTGACCTTACTATGAATAACAGCTATTGTGGGTAGTTTTATTAAGAAACGGTCGGAGTGCAAGTTGGGCAATAGGGGTAATTTCTATTGGAAGGTTGTGATTCATGTACTACTGTAGTGTATTTGGGAGGAACATAACAAAAGAATTTTTGAGAACTTAAGTACCCCTTCCAAAGGCCTGAAAGGAATGATCTTGGCTATGATTAATTCTTGGATGTTGGAAAGTAAGCATTTGAGGTGTTCAGATATTGGGCGAGACAGCTCCCTAGTAGGCCCTTTGTTTATTTCTTTTTATTTGTTATTATTATGGGCCATAGACCCCTTTTGTTATGTTTATTTCATTTATTTCTCTTATTCTTTTTAACAGCTGCTCTACTAGGGGCAATTATGTAAACTTCCTTTTAACTATGATAGATCGAATACAAATAGAGAAGGCTGGGTGAGCCATGAACTCTTCTTCCCAAAACCTTCTTTCTTTCATCTTTTCTCTTCTCTCTTCTTCCTTCTTCTTCTTCTACCTTACTGTTTCAGATCTGTTTTTCTTTCTTTTTTTATTGATTAAACACACTGTTTTACAGCATTAACTGTCAACTTTGGTATCAGAGCAACCTACTTCTTTTTCTTTTTTACTTTAATCCCATACACAATGTGTATGGAGAACTAAGGTGTTAGTTGATTAATGTTTCATTCATCCTAGTCAGTTGGGGGGGGGGGGTTCTTGGAGAATTTGAGATAAGTTTTGATCACTTTTTTTTTCTACCCAAGAAGCGTCTTGGGGAGATAGCCCAAAAATCTAGCTGACTAGAGAAGAATTACAGTTGAGTGGTAAGGGGACCCTTCTAGAGTGGTGCTCAGGGTGTGAAGGCCTTCATAGAGATTCTTATTGAGATTGATTCAGGTTGGGGAACTTTCTGCCTTCACAGTTTTCTTAGTTTCTGGGTTGCCGGGCAATGTAAAATATCTCTCTCTTGGTTTTTTTCACTTCCTGGGTGTTGGAAGATCTTAGTTGAAGCCTAAATTATATTTCGTTTATTTTTGTTTGATCAATGGAGACATATGGAGTTGAAATTAAGTAGAATGGGGAACTTGGAAGTAGTCCAGGAGGGTTTGTGGAATCCCTGCTGGGTGCTGTGACCACAGTGAAGTTAGATGGCACCAACTATTTAGCTTGGTCACAATCTGTGAAGATCATGTGTGTGGTAGAGGCAAGTAGGGGTACTTGTCAGGCAGTAAAGAGAAACCGAAAGACGGAGATCCTAGTCTTGAGAAATGGACATAGGAAAATTACATTGTTATTGGGTGGTTGGTAAATTCTATGCAACCACATATTAGTGAGCACTATCTATGGATGGAGACACGTAGCAAGGAAATATGGGATACTGTGGCCGAAACGTATTCTCAAAAGATGGATGTTGCAAGAACATACAAGCTGAAAAATGAAGTCAATAATCTAAAACAAGGGGAGAGGCCTCTAGTAGTATACTACTCTATGCTGAAATCTTTATGGCAGGAGATTGATCTTCTTGAAATTGTTGTGTGGAAGAGCACCGAGGATGCAGAAACATATAGAAAATTGGTGGGGAGAAATAGGGTGTTTGAGTTCCTTATTAGGACTTAACTCAGAGTATGATATTACCAGACAAAACATACTCTCTGAGGATGATATTACATTATCTAAGGCATACTCTCTGGTGAGTAGTGAGGAAAGTAGAAGGCAGGTAAATCTTTAGAATTCTACTATTAATCATTTTGCCAATGCTGCAAGGTGCCAACCAGCTGGTTGGTAAGGTCTCCTACTGGTCGTAGCGGAGACTTGGGGTCGAATCCTACTTGCACCTGGGTTGGGGGACGGGATACCCCTTATTATGTAGCCCTTCAAAAGATATAAAAAAAATAATTTTTCCAATGCTGGTGTAAAGCCAAAGGGTAGTGATATAAGAAGGAGAAGACAAAGACAGTTATATGTGCTTATTGCAAGAAGCCTAAGCGTACTAGGAGACACCTATTGGAAATTACATCCTCATTTGATGCCAAATGGGTTCAAAAAATAACAAGAAGGGTGAAAATGCTAATGCAACCATTATACCGGATACTGAGAAGAGGTCTAGTGAAGAGAAGTCGACCGTGGAACAATTACCAGTTGTGGGAGCTGAATTTGAAATATATGGGAAACTTCTGAATCACTTGGATAGGGAAGTTAGCTCCAACTCTACAGGCAATTCAACATCTACAGCCTTTGCCCACTCAGGTGCTTGTGCCATTGCTAATCATGCATCCTTTTCAGGTAATCATTGTATTGCTTGGATTATTGATTCTGGTGCATTTAATCACATGACTAGTATACCTAATCTTTTTTGTTCCTACCAACTTTTACCTGGCTAAGATAAAATTTCCCTTGTTGATGGCTTTCTTGCTCCTATTTCTAGAAAGGGAGGCATTAGAGCCACCAAGATCCTTACCCTATCTTCTGTTCTCCATGTACCTAAACTTAATATTAACCTTCTTTCTGTTAGTAGTTTGACTAAATCATTGAATCGTTGTATAACCTTCTTTCCCGTTGTGTTTTCTAGGGCCTAAAGTCTTAGAAAGTGATTGGGAGTGGCCATGAGGCAAATGGGATATACCTGCTTGACGTGCCTAAGAAGAATCCGGTATCATCACAAAGGGTGGCCTTAGAGTCAATTGTGTTTGAGTCTTTTCTTAAAATTATGTTATGCCATTTTCGTTTGCGTCATTTGCCCTTTTCTTCTTTGCATCTTTTATTTCCTGAGTTGTTTAAAAGTGTTAGTCTTTCTAGTCTATAATGTGAGTCATGTCAGTTGTCAAAGCATTGTAGAAATTCTTATCCCTTAAGTAATAAAAGATCCAAATATCCTTTCGATATTGTGTACACTGATGTGTGAGGGCCGTATCATATACCTTTTATGGGGGGTTATAAATACTCCATTTTGTTCATGGAGGATTTTTTCAGATATACATGGATTTATTTGACGCGTTCTTGTGATGAGGTTCCAAAGTTAAAGACAATTTCATGAACTTGTTCTCACTCAGTTTAAAACAAGTACCAAAGTATTTCGATAATTCTAAGGAGTACTTTGAGAAGGATCTTTCTACCTATCTTGCTTACTTGGGAGTTATTGATCAAAGGTTTTGTCCACACACCCCTTAACATGGGGTAGCTGAAAGGAAAAATTGACATGTTGAAATTGCTAAAAGCATTTTGTTTGCCTCCCATGTTCCTATAAAATATCGGGGAGATGCTGTTCTTATAACAACTTATTTGATTAATTGTTTTCCTTCACGGGTCCTTGGGTTCAATCATCCTTTGTCTTTTTTTTTTCATTGATGAGGGCATATTCTCTATACCCCTCAAAGTGTTTGGTTGCACTTGCTATGTATATATTCCTAGTTCACAAAGACACAAACTTGAACTAAAGGCTAGGAAATGTATCTTTCTTGGGTATGCCTCCACATAAAAGGGTTATTGTTGCTATGATCTTCTTAGTGGCACTCGGTTTGTTTCCATGGATGTCACATTTGATGAGTTATCTCCTTTTTATCCAGTTCCATCCTAGGGGGAGAAGTTTCCTCTTTTTGATATTTCTCTTCCATCTCCTATCCCTGGTGACATCTCTTGTGAGTTACCAGTTATTCCCAGTTATGTTGTTCCTCCTTCTCTAGTTCATGATTCTTCCTCCTTGATGTTCCTTCGTCTCCCCCTGCTAGTCTTCCTTAGCACCCAATTTAGGAGGGTTTTATCTCCAATACACACATGGATAGGTTGTTCTCCTTCCATCACAAGTGTCTCTTGGACCTCTCATCGCAGAAGAGGTGGTGGATCCAAAACCTTCTAGTTTGCCTTCACCCACTATACCAGACATTGACCTTCCCATTGCCATACGAAAAGGTAAATGTAAATGCACTACACATTATATTTCTAAACACCTTTCTTATGGCTTGTTATCTCCCTCTTATTATTCCTTTTTAGCCTTCATTTCCTCTCAACACATACCCAAAAATGTGTCAGAAGCATTATCTAAACCCGAATGGAGTGATGCAATGAGAGTCGAAATGGAAGCACTTTGTAAGAATAACACGTGAGAGGTTGTTGATTTGCCTAAAGGGAAAGAGCTGATAAGTTGTAAGTGGGTAACTGGGTATACACTATTACATGCCATGCTAATGGATCATTTGAGAGGTATAAAGAAAGGCTGGTTGCTAAGGGTTATACTCAAAGAGTATGGAGTTCTCTCTCTTGGCGTTTATATCAGTTTAGTGAAAAATGAATTCTGTTTGCCAAAATGAATTCTGTTTGAGTTCTCTTATCCTTGACGGATTCCTTGTCTTGGCGTTTATATCAGTTTAGTGAAAAATGCATTTCTGAATGGTGACCTTCATGAAGAGGTGTATATGTCTCTCTCTCTTGGCATGTATGGTAAGGAGTTAGTAGGGAAGGTTTGTCAACTGAGGAAATCTCTCTATGGGCTCAAACAGTCTCCACGAGCTTGATTTGAGAGGTTCCGTAATGCTTTTGTTGGGGTTGGCTATGTTTAGACTCAATCTGATCACACCCTTTTTGTGAAGAGGAGAGATGCTTTAGTTACTATCCTTACTATTTATGTTGATGATATTATTGTTATTGGAGATGATGTGGAGGAGATTGGGAAACTTAAGCATTTTCTCAATACTGAATTTGAAATTAAGGACCTTGGTGCACTACACTACTTCTTGGGTATTGAAGTGGCAAGGTTGAAAGATGGGATGTTTATTTCACAAATAAAATATGTGCTGGATTTATTAATTGAGACTGGTAAGCTTGGTGCCAAACCTGTTCCAACACCTATTGATGCAAATTGTAAGTTATCTACCACAGATTAGGAGTTACCGACTGATAGGGGAGTGTTTTAGAGGTTTGTGGAGTAGTTTTTATACTTGTGTATGACGTGGCCTGATATATCTTATGTAGTGCGCTTGGCTAGCAAATTCATGCATGCTCCTAGAGAAACTCATTTGGCTGTTGTTGAAAGGATATTATGTTATTTAAAGGGATCTCCGGGGAGAGTGAGAGGTTTTCCGTTTGCCAACCATGGGCATAGGAGGATTGAGGCATATATGTGTGTAGATTGGGCAGGTAGCATTGATGATGGGAGGTCTACATCTGGATATTGTACGTTGTACCCTCACTGTTGGTAATTTAGTTTCATGGAGAAGTAAGAATTGTTTTTTTTTTTTATCAAAAACGATAACTTTCGTTAGGGATAAATTAAATTGAAATACAAAAGTCAACCCTTATTAGAAAAGGTTGATCCAATAAACATCAAACATTACAGCACTGCCCAATAAAGTCTCTCCCTTACAGTCCCTTGTTTTGCTAGGGCGTAAACCATTTTCTGATCTCCTTACCCACTTGAAACAAACAACCACMTCCCTTGTTATGCTAAGAATTTCCCTTATCAGCTGTCTATATTGCCAAATTTCCAGCTGCCCTGATTGCATCCACCCAATTACCAATTTGGAGTCTCTCTCTATCTCAATCCGCTGTAGCCCCAATTGTTTGGCCAGATCTTCAGTAGAAGCATAATATTGAGCAATGGCTCAGGGGGTGTCAGAATTGTTATGGCTTAGATCATTGCTAGGAGAGCTGGGTATCGGTTATGACAACCCAATGGTGTTGTATTGTGATAAATAGGCTACTATCAATATATCATAGCTCACAACCCCATTTAGCACGACAGAACCAAACATATTGAAGTAGATAGACATTTTATATGGGAGAGAGTAGCATTTGGAGAAGTCTGTCTACCATTTGTTGCTTTAGAAGAATAGTTGGCAGATATTCTAAGGGAGTTTCTAAGGCTAAGTTGCAGTACTATATAAGCAAGCTAGGCATGATCAATATCTATGCTCAGCTTGAGGGTTTTTTTTTTGGGATTTAGTGTTATTGATGTATTTCTTTTTGGGATTTATTGGAGTTTCCCTACTGTACCCATGCATATCCTTATTTTTACCATATCTAAAGTGTATCCTGCATATCTGATACTTTGAACCTTGGTTACAGTGTGGGTTCTAAATATTTTTTATGGAGTCTGGAGTGACTGAAACAGACTAATGTTATGTTTCCATGCTCAACAAATTTTATGGTAAATGTATTTGGTTATTTTTTTCTCTTAGGATTTCCTTGAGCTTGTTATAAGCTTACAATCTTATGTTCTTGCAGAGTCCTTGTGAGCATGCCTTTTGTTTGGACTGTGCTAGGAGTGATTCTAGCTGCTACCTGTAAGTAACTTTAAGCTTATTCGCAATCTTTTATGCCCAGACTAAAGCTGTGCACATTTTTTTTTATTGTTACAATATGTATTTAATAATTGTAGTAACTCTTTCTTAAAATGAATGCTTTTACTTAAATAAAAAGAGAAAGGCATGCCTCATAAGTCCTAAGCTTAAAATATAATTTTCCAATCTTCAACAATGAGATCTTTTATCTAAAACAAGTGAAGTTAGAAGGGGGGAATTGGGAACCAAAGCTTGTGATGTTTAAGTGACCTAACCAACCAACTGTACCCCTACCCCCGCCCCCCGCCCCCTTAAAAAAAAGAAGACAACAAAAAGTAAAACTAAAATACTTAAATTTCCTTTGGAAACAAATTGAAAAAAAATAAAAAATCTAACAAAGAAATGAAAAAAATACTTACCAAAATACAAAATGGACAACAAATTGGAAAACAATAGAAATTTTATTTCATTTGAAATATAAAAAAATTACAAATTGAAAAAAATAACATTGTTGAAAAAATAACAACTAATTTAAATAAAATTGAAAAAACTACTCCATCTCCTTGACTTCAATCATTAGCTTCATTAGGTGTAACAGTGTCATGCCCTTCTTCGTCTTGTAATTTATCCTCAACATCCAGCAAATCTTTAAAGTAGATGTCTTTTTCTTGTTTCTTATGGAAGAGCAAATTTCTGCCCAAGTGGCCAATACCACTCTTGCTACTGAAGCTAAAGTTAATCCTACATTTTTGGCAAACAACTCTTTTTCCTTGACCCTCAACCTCCTCTATTTTAAATACTTTCCAAATCGGGCTAGTGAACTTACTATTGGGGAATTGGTTTTGGGAGGAGGAGCTAGCCATTTTTTTTTAATTCTAAAAAAATTAAAATTAATTTAATTGCACTTATCCAGATGGCTGGATTATTGGTTCAGAATCTCAACTTGATTTGAACGGTTGAAGCTTCAAAGGCTAAAGCCTCCTAATGTGTATGACACTATGACAGTACGAGATGAGAGACAGAGAGTATGAGATAATGAGAATAAAGAATTGAGAAGAGAATTTAGAATTACTGAATTGGTGTGATGAGAATGGTGGAGGATAGGACTAATTATAGGAATTGAAAATAATTCAATTGCCCAAAATACCCTAAAAACTAGCCATTTTTTAATTGTTGGGAGGGGTATTTTGGTCATTATAAAGTCATATATCACTTTACCCAAATGCCCCCAAAGTTCCAAACTAGCTGTTATATTATAAGATATATCTGTTGTAGGGGCATTATTGTTTTTTTTCTTCCCCCCAAAGCCAAAATGCATAAATACCCCCTACATAGCTATTTATAGGCTTATAGTTGTTGATTGAGAGGTATTTCTATTAAAACCCCCTAAAAAGCTGAAACTAGCCGTTTGGGGGGTCCCCCAAGTGCCCCAAACGGGCAATGGTTAGTTTTCTCTGATGGGCTGCACTCGACCTGTTGCGGGCCCACGGGCCGGGCTGTTCCGTTCCGTGCTGTGGACTGGGCCGTGTTGGCACGTGGGCCACGGGCAGCACGTCAATGCACAATCGTGCCGTGTCGTGCCGTGCCGGTTCGTGGACCTGAAACCCCCGGCCTAGCACGACCCACACAATCATGTTGTGCCTGGCACGGTCCGCGTGCCGTCGTGCTGGGCTGTGCCAGGCTGATGCAAAATTGTGCCGGGCCACAGGTGGCACAGCCCGGTTTACAGCTCTAGTTTCCAGAATAAACCTCTTGGATAACCGGATTAAAAGGAAATGGTAGAAAAAAAGATTCTTGGTCCTTAAAATGGACTTTCTAACAATATAAAACGCCTCCCTTCACCATCCTCAAAGGGCCAGGTTTGCTGAGAAAACGCATTAACATTAACCTTGATATCCTTTATAGGGTGTTTAAAACTGTAGAGTTTACTGGGGCTGGGATCCACATCCACTGGCACTGATGGTGTTCTACTTAGGCTATGTTTGGTTTGAAGGAAAAGGTAGGGAAAGGAAAGGAAAGACAGGGAAACCAATACAAGGTTTGTAAAGGTTTCTCTACCTTTCCCTCCCTGTCCTTACATTTTCCTTTAAACCAAACATAGCCTTAAGGATTAAAGGATTTGGATATGGATATGACAAGCTACTTTGTGACGATTGAATCCATATAAAAAGATGAAGTGCAAAGAAATTTCATATGCGAACAAGGGAAGGAAAGGAACCATAAAATTGATTGGAAATAGGGGGCCTTGGACTCTAAGGTATGGAAACAAGGACTATGGCTTCTAACTTAAATTGCCCATTCAGGTATATTCCCAAAACAGCAAATACTATGGCTTCTAACTTAGATTAAGTCCAATTTTCTTTCTTGGACTATACTTCATGAATAGCACCAATTGTTACAGTGCTGATCTCCAAGTAGTTTTAGCAGTTCATTCCTACTACTGTCCATCATTGTGCATCAGAAGGGATTGTCTCTCACTTTGAATATTTCTATTAAACACAATTCTTATTTTTCTTTTGGTAACATTTTTTATGTTTTACCTTGTGCAGTTGTGATGAGCGCATTCAGAAAATCCAGACAATTAAAATGATGGAGGGCATCTTCATCTGTGCAGCCCCCCACTGTCTGAAGTCCTTTCTGAAGAGGTCCGAATTTGAATCTCATATTCACGAGAGCCATGCTGATCTTCTCCAACCTAATATAGAAAAAGAAGATGTCAATGAGTCGGATGCTTTCAATGCTGCAAGACTCTCTACTGATTCCCATGCCAAACTATCTATCCCTGCAGATTCATCCACCTCCCATGCTCAACCAAGGCCCGTATCTTCACTTAATTCAAATTCCCAGCCCCATGATCGAGAGGACAAAGCTCGCCGCCTCCCACCCAGAGAACCACCCAAGCCAATTATGCAACCAAAGCCACCATCGTTTTATGTTCGACCACAAAACCATCCACCTGAGCTGTCGGTTGACAACAATTCACCTCAAGTCTTTGATAGGCCAGGGGCCTATGGCCGCTTCCATCACCAGCAGAGCTTTGACACACAGAGTGGACCACATTATCGACGAGATTCTGATGCCTTTCCAGACAAGCAGCAAGGGGTTCTATCTGAGCCTTCATTTTCTGACTACCCACCTATGCATACCCATCAGCTACCTGGTTTTGTTGTGCCCCCAGTTAATGCAAACCAGGCTGCAACCCCCCCTCCATTCAACTATCCTCCTTTTCCAGCTGAGGGACCTCAACCGTTCTTTAATGCTCCTTATGAGACAGCACGAACAGATTTGGCATCAGAAGGTGTGTCAGACCAGGGATCATTGTTGGGTTTCCCACCTGGTCCAGCAGCAGGTGTGGGTTTCAATGACGGTTATGCTCAACCCTGGAATATGGGGCTTACGGGTTTGCCTGTCGCACCTCTGCCAGGTGGTGGCCAAGGAGTTCCAGATGGTTTCCCAAACCCACCAGATTCTCAAGGTAGAGTTGCATTTTTTCAAGGTGATTATGGACGTTTTCCTGGAGGTAAACCTCTCAATGCCCCTCCGCTTCCACCACCTGGAAATAAAGGACTGGAACCCATGCAAGGTGGTAGTGCTTTGGATCACAAGGATAGCAAGGGTATATTGGCACCACAACCTCTGTCACTGCCCCCGCCTCCACCACCTCCACCTCACTTGTCACAACTCAAACGGGCAAAATTCTCTGGCTCTGGTGACATGGGTTGGGATGGACAGGGCTATGGTTGGCAAAATGAGAAGCGTGATAGCTTTGGAAGTGGTCAGGAGTAGGGTTGGACGATCTCCTCAACTGTGGTATCGGCAAGTGGTTGCAGATCTGTTCGTGTTCACCTCTCTCTCCTTTCCTATACTCATGCTGCATTTGTTGATCAGCTCTTCAAATTTGTACATTCTCGGATCATCTATGATTAGAGCTGTCTTTATATATTTTTATTCAATGTTTGAACTATTTTGTTGGTTGATTTCTTTGGCAACTCAACTCAACTTTAATCCCAATCATATAGGCGAATCTCTGAAGTTGTATTTAGTTTGACAGAAAATAGGAGAGAAACAGAAAGTTGAGGGCCTTTTCCCTTTCTCTTATTTTCTATTAAACTAAACACGGTCCAATTGATATTGAAATGCTTCGAGGAGGACTTTGAGAGCAAACACTAATATGTCAAATTGTCAATGAAAAAGAATTTCATTTTTATGTCATTGACGGTTAAACTTGAAGAGCCGTTATCTGATGGACGTTCTTTTGACCAACCGTGGTTAGGGCTGTTCACGGGTTGGGTTGGGTCGATTTACTGGCGTTTTTCTAACCGACCTGATCTGATCGGCTTACCTAGAAATGAAACCGAAACCRACCCAGTACTAAGTAAAACCGATATGGTCGGTTTAAATCGGTTTGGGTCGGTTTTGTGAATGATTCTCTCGGTGTGAACTGTAAAGGATTCAAGTCTAAGAAAGCAAAGGCTGGATGCCTAGAAATTAAAAATGATTTGATGGATTAAAACTGATATTTTATATATCAAAAATTTTATATATAATATGTATATTTCTGAAAAGAGTTCACCTCAGGACAAGCCTACCTCGGTGCAAGGTCATCTTAGTACTATGGCACTTCGGCATTCAGAGCAGGTCGGGTTTGAAGAGAACGAGCTCAGGCAGCTCGCCACCAAGTAGCCCGACACTTCATAGGCAGCTCGCCACCAAGTAGCCCGACACTTCACAGGCAGCTCGCTACCTAGTCAGGACGACCTCCACATGACAACTCTGAGGAGCTCACCACTGAACCCCACATCTTACGGGATCGTACCTTAACGGCTATATTAACTCACCCACTCCCCGATTCAGGCGAAGATGGGCAACATTACCGGTTGGTGGCATTATCCCCACCTAACACGAAAGCGGATCCCATCATAGCGAGGATCTAGAAACTGCTCCACCAAACCCGCAGGGACTCCGGTATATAAAGACCTCACCCCCAGGGGTGAAAGTATGATGTGTAATCTTTGCTCTCTAGCTCTCTAATTCTCTGATATCATCTTCAAGCTCTCTACTACGTGCTAACTTAGCCATTGGAGTGTCCCCACCGGGTAAGACACCTTGAGATCTCTGATTCAACTGTCTTGCAGGTAACTCAGTCCCCGTCGTTGCTGGCAACCAGATTGTCTCCAGTAGGGAGCAGCCGGATTACGCCACATCATTTGGTGCCGTCTGGGGGAACTCAATACTAAAAGCCCTTGTTTCCATTTCCAAAATCTCAAGCTCAAAATCAAATCCATGGCTTCCTCCAGCAACGCCGGACAACACAACGAAGCAAATGTCTCCGGGGGGAAATCTCAGTTCCCGTCTGTCTGCATAGGTCAGTTCACCATACCGCTCTCCGCGGGTGGGATCCCAGCACTGACTGTGCCCGTGAACGCCCCACTTCCCCCTGTAGTGGGTGCGACTTCCGTTGAACCCTTTGTGGTTCCCCCTAGAGTTGGACAGAACCAACTAATAACCTAGTACACTGTGTGCGGGCTATTCAAGTCCAAATACAGCAGGTCCAGGAGTTCTAGCATTACCAATAGCAGGTTTTGCACCACAAATACCAGCAGCAGTTCCCACTGCTGCTGCAGAATCAACAGCCAGTCCCGCCCTCGTGTCCGATCACACCAAGCAAGCCTCGTCGCCAGAACAACCGTCCTCTTCGTCGGGGAGAGACTTCCCAGGTCTCATCTCACAGCAGGAGGGAGAGGCAAGTTGTTCCTCCCACCTCGCAGCAAGTAAACAGGTCGGGAGATACTTGATCCACCCCAGCCCTCGCAACCCGAAGGTTCACTCGCGGGAAACTAGTTCGAGGTCCTAGCCGCGGACTCCAAACAAGGCCTTTCTGTCTGTAGTAGCTGGCGTCAACAGTCCGAATCACTTCCGGCCAAGACACCATCTGACAGCGCGGAAGTCAGCAACACTGCTGTGGAACCAGTCAAGCAGCAGCGAAGGCGACATGCTAAGGCACCTCTAGCAGTAGATCCAAGCCAGCTCGCTGGACCTAGCTGACTTGAGCAGCCTAAAGGTAAGGTGGAGGTAAGCTCGAAAATCACAAAAACCACTCCCCTCCTCTTTGTGCCCTCTCCTCTGTCCTCCGAGCTCCTGGCCACTCTGATGCTGAAGGACTTCAGGGTCCCCCCCTAGATAAGTATGATGGGTCTTTTGACCCAAGTGACCATGTAGACTCTTTCTAGTCCCAGATGCACCTCGCCGGGGCAGAGGAGGCTTGCATGTGCATTGCCTTCTCCACGACCTTCAAAGGGGTAGCTCGCACGTGGTACAGAAACCTCGCGTCCGGAACAATTAGAAGTTGGGCACAACTTGTGTAGTTGTTCACCTCGCACTTCATCACCAGCAAGAAGTGTCCGAGGTCACAAGAAAGCCTCCTCAGCATAGTCCAGAGGGAAGGAGAGTTGATTCGAAGCTACATCAAACGCTTCAACGACACTTGTTTGCTAATCCCAGACTTAGATCCCGCCGTAAGACTCGCGGCAGCAAAGAAGGGTATCACCCACAGGGAGTTCAAGTGGCATGTGGTGGCAAACAAGACTAAAGACATCACCGAATTCCTCAAGCTCGCCGATTAGTTCATCGGGACCGAAGAGGAGATGAACCAAATGACTGAAGCCCCGATGGAGAAAAGAAAGAGAGAAGACAACAGCTCGAACAATGGTGGCGGCAAAAGGAGGAAAAGCAAGTCCCCAACCAGGGGAGGGAACATGTCAGGTTTTCATTCCCGAACTCCCCCGGTTGAAAGAATGAACTTCACACCCCTCAACGCAAAGCGGGGAGAAATCCTCTTGGCGATCAAAGATGCCCCTTTCGTAAAGTGGCCACCTCGGTTGAGTGGAGACCCTGCCACAAGAAATAAAAATGTGTACTGTCGCTTCCATAGAGACCATGGTCATAGTACTGAAAGTTGTAAAGCCCTCCGCGACGAGATAGAAGAGCTCATCCGTTGCGGATACTTAAAAAATTTAGTACAAAGAGACAATAAAAACCAAGTAGATCGGCAAGAGGAGCAAATGAGAGATGCTCCCGAGTCCAGCAGCCGGCACAACGAGCAACCGCAAAGACAATTGCCCGAGGAGAGACCGATCCACGGGATGATTAACACGATCACTGGCGGATCCATAGTCACAGGCTACACCTCGGCCGTAAGGAAATACTCAGTTCGCGAACTGGAACACGAAGAGCAGAATCTGTCGAAGTGACTTAGGCTCGAAGACCCGATATTCTTCACGGAAGACGATGCACGTGGGGTCCAATACCCCCATGATGATGCACTGGTTATAAAGATGAGGGTCAACGACTTCGAGGTGAAGTGTATTCTAGTCGACTCCGGCAGTTCAGCAGACATCCTGTTCAAAGACGCGTTTGACAAGCTCCAGCTCCAGGAAGGCGACCTCAAGCCAAAAAGCACTCCCTTGGTAGGATTTAGCGGAGAAGAAGTCAGTTCCCTAGGGCAAATCTCAGTACCTGTGGAGATCGGCACCCTGCCTAGCACCGCGAGGTTCGAGCACACCTTCTTGGTGGTCGCGACCCTCCCCGTACAATGCCATTATAGGTCGGCCTATCGCCCACGCGCTTTGCGCAGTGGTGTCCACCTATTACTTGGCTATGAAGTTCCCCACGAACTTCGGACTTGGAATAGTGCGAGGCGACCAGCTCGAGTCCCGCAAGTGCTATGTTGCCGCCCTCAAAGGGAAAGCCAAGCTGGCAGACGACCTCGAGCTAGAGCGACCTGTGGAGTATTTTGAGGAGCGAGCTACGCCAACCGAGGGGATGGTCCACATCCCGACCTCAACAGAAGATCCAGCTAGGACCCTCCAGATCAGATCAATGATCGAGGAGCCTCTCCGTTCTCAGTTGGTAAGCTTTTTACTTAAAAATTTAGATATATTCGCATGGTCTGCAGTAGAAATGCCCGGTATAGATGCAAAAATAATAACTCATAAGCTAAATACTGATCCTATAGTCAGGCCAGTTAGACAGAAGAAACACAACCTCGCCTCGGAGCGCTGGGGGATAGTCGATGAGGAGGTCGGGAAACTCTTTGCAGCCGATTATACCGACCTGAATCGAGCTTGCCCGAAGGACTGTTTCCCACTCCCTAAGATCGACCGTCTAGTGGACGCGACCTCAGGGCACAAGTTGCTGAGTTTTCTGGACGCGTACTCAGGATATAAACAAGTGTGTCTTTGGTGTTACATCGGGTAAATTCCTGGGTTACATAGTTAACCGATGTGGCATCGAAACAAACCCCAAAAAAATAAAGGCTAT